GGTTTCTGCCCGTTAAAAGGCAGTTTTTCCTTGCCCCCGTCGCCAAGTGCTTGCTCATGGTGGTACTGTTGGGTCTCTGTAAATGTTATAAGGAGTTCGGTCTAGACCTGCTCTATTTGAAAAGTGCCTGACATAACCTTTGTTATAAATTTGCTCTATACAAATAAAATTGAATTGAATGGAATTGTACTGATCAATCCTGGATTACAATCCAGGAAACAAAGGAATGCTTCAGCAAAAGGCAGGAAAGAAGAAGAACAACAATTTGTTTTGGTTAGAAACAATATTCGTTTTGTGTAAGTTTGTATACAAAAACCTTCACAGGGTACCTTTAACTTTTGACATACCAAGGGTAGCAGTTTCCTCTTGCTTCCAGTATTTTTTCTAAGCTAGGCTAAAACTTCAACCTATCTGTCACAGTCTGCTGCTCAGTTCCTGTCTTTCATCCCCAACCCTCCACATTGTCTTCAGCCCTTGCTCACTTCACCCAAGTCTTTCCTTCAACTCCCCAGACCTGTCGACCACCAGATGTCCTCAGACTTTCTCTCCTTTCCTCATCGCCCAACTGACTGATGATGAAAAAAGAGCTTTATAGTTACATGGACTTCCCCATCCCCCTCCTTACCTGTGTCTCATTCCCTTATCACCACTCACCATATACAGGCCTATTTACTTTGTTCCAGGTTCATTACTCTCTATCTCTTCTATCCTGTTTTTAGGTTGTTTCCAAGACCTATGGGACATGTCTATTTTTAGGACTCTGTGATACTTGCCTCCTTGTCAGACTTGTTTGACAGTTTAAACTGCCTTCTCAGGTTTGACCCTAGGTACGAGCAGTTCGTTCCCTGGCTCCTCTTTTTAACCAAAGGGTTTTTGTTGCCACTTCAATAACAACTTCTGTGCGGCTCCAAAATGCATTTTTTTTGTATACAAAAACACTGACACTGACTATAACGTCAATACATAATGTTTCCATCAAAATGTTTTTTGGGAAAACCATGTAGTAGTATTGAAACCAAACAGAGTGGGTTTCCAGGAGAAATGGTAAATTACTGGTACAATTGGCAAATAATAATAATGATCCTAGACAGCGTCCTTGAAGCACCTCCTAACACTTGTTTCAGCGAAACATTTGTTTTCCCTTGATCAAAAAACTGTGAAGCCAGAAAGTTTATATATGAAAAGCTCCATTCTATCGGTCATCTGAGCCAGATCAGATTCTGTTCAATAAACAACTTTGTAGGTTAAAATTGTCTCACTATAGCTGTCAGAAATAGAACAATATTTGTTCTTGATTGGACGAGTAACAGGGCTTGTGAGTGCTATATTAGAATTAGTAGAAGTTGGAATTTTTGCAGGCTGCTTCTTCTTAAACACTGTATTTCACTCCGAGTAAGCATAAATCATAAAACTGTTGTAACAAAGAGAAATATATGTAACAAATGTAACATCTTTATTGTAAATTGTAAACATGTAAATGTTTGAATTTTAAACACCTTAATTCAATATATATGGGTTTAAGTGGATACATTCAAACAACAGCACATAAAAAAATCTCTCAGCACTTGTTATTTTTAAGTCACTCTTATCGATCAACAATCCCTTCAACCCCACAGAGACAGATTATCCTCATGTACATGGGTCCAGGGTCCAAGGTCCAATAACCAGATCCCACACTTTTGATTTAGTACACACTAAAAACAAATGTTACGCAACATCAATCCTTTTTCAGTTTTGGTAACTTGTAAGTAAACTATGTTCAACAAATGTGCTCCATTGAATTAGGGGAATTAGCTTTCCGTCTACAACCCCATGTAGGACGACTTACTTAATAATTGGTAGCAAGTTTTTAAGTTGATTAGGCTACTCATAAAAATGAACTTGCTCCAATAATTATTTCGACTAAAAGTTTTATCTTGCAACCATGCATTTATTTGAGGGTATAGGAGCGTGTGTGTGTGTTGCAATGGATTTCTTCAAGTATTCACGTGTGAGGGTCTCACCTCAGCCCTGACTCCCTCTGGCTCTCTGCAGCAGGCGTAGATGTGAGACTCCTCTCCTGTCTTCTCTGCCAGTTGTTTCACCAGCTCCAAACCAATGCCTCTGTTGGTCCCAGTGACTAAAATGTTGCCTTTCAGTCTCTCTGACATGTTAGCTGATCAGCTGTCAAAGCTCAGCAGCTGTCAGACTACTCTCTTGTGAAAGTGGCTGAACATGTGTGAAAGCAGTGTTGCTGTAATGCTAGTCCTGTGTGCGTCATGCCCTTAATATAGGTGTGTACTGTACAAGGAGGCAGGAGTAAGCCTCTCCCCTCTGTGTGTGTCAACACATGTACCATGTCGCCTACTGCGCATAAAGTATATGTGTGGACAACCTTTATCTTACTTATATATATTCATAATATAGAGTCCCTGTTTCACTTGAAGTGACATTTTTCACTTCCAGTGCTGAGGTCTCTGTTTGTCAATAAATATTCACTAAAATCGAAAGCTCATCTCATAACCATCCTTTGTTCATGAGCCAACAGCTGATATGTCTTCGTCATTTGACAGTGCATGTTTAATTAAGCATCACAGTGATTCAGAGTGCGTCAGACTCCGTGAAGAGTCTGATACAGAGAATGAGTTAATCTGTGATGATGTCAAGCCTCAGAATATGTGGAAGTGTGTGGTTTACCGCAGCTGCAGAAATATGAAGTTACCACACTGCCAGAAGCGAAAGAATTCTGCCTCTTCCTGTCTACACCGTTTCAACTTACAGACAGACAGAATGTGCTGGAGACTCACTATCGGACAGCTTAAGAAAGAGCTATCATCTTGTCTATCCCAATGCTTGGTTGTTGCAGTTCAGCTTTGAAGTTCATCAGCACAGTTGGTGCATCTAAATGGACTATTATAATAGGCTGTAATATATATTTATCCATAGCTTCAATGTACCATTTTGGTTTCGGTTATTTATTTATCTTTAATAATTTTTTGGGCCTTTTATTGCCTTTATTTATAGTGACAGCAGAAGATAGACAGGAAAGGGGGGCAGAGAGAGAGGATGACGCGCAGCAAAGGGCCACAGGTCGGATTTGAACATGGGTGGCCAGCTCTATCGACTGAGCTAACCAGGCACCCAGGTTTCGGTTATTTATAGTTCATCGAGAAGGGTTTAATACCAGAGCCTCAAATAAATTAAACTGAATATCCCATTTGGAGGCTGGGTGGAAAAAATTTACTGATACAAACTTGGCTTAATTGCTGAAATTTTATTGAATATTGTCTGATTGGGTCTGATTTTTAAGGGCTGAGCCAAAATTGTTCAAACCGACTGGATTCAGGGGATTTTGTGTGCAATGGCTGCACATTCAGATG